ATAAGTCTAGATACCGCTAAGACCAGAGTGGCTGATCTTTGAGGTTTCTCTGAGATTAGCTGAAAGCAAGGATGGCTGACTTGGCAATACTTGGACCAGGGGATCTGGAGAAGGAGACAAGAAAAGAGAGGTTCAGTAAGGCAGGGAGCTCTACCCTCATGCTTGATACTGGAATGTAGGGAATCCTCACAGAACTCTTCCATGGTAGGTGTTGTATCAAATCAACAATCCGTATATATACAACTATAGCAGCATCGCTGCTGCTGTCATAGTTACCACAGAAATAGACAGCCTCGTCCTCGGCTTGGACCCCAGTGATGGTTAACGTGTTTGAGGAACCAGACCCAGATCCGGAGAATCGCGAAGGGATGTCCGAGGGTCTCTTGTCATTCTGGTAGATCACAGTGACAGGACCACTGCCAGGGACCTTCTGCTGGAACCAGCCATAGTCGCTGTAGCTACTCCCAGAGCAGGTGATTTTGATGTACTCTCCCACAGTGGCTGACACTGAGGATGGCTGACTCAGTGATGCTGCCTGGACCAGGGAACCTGGAGAGAGAGAAAAGAGAGGGGAGGAGAGTGGGTGAGTCAGTGACCTGGGAGCACAGATCTCTCCAGGCTGTGGGACAATGATTGGACCCCCATGCTCAAAGTCCCCAACTGGTCACACTGAGTTTGGCCCGGATATCTGCACCAGAGATGAATAACACTGCAAGGAAGGTGACAGAATCAGGCAGGTGCCAGCTGCTCAGACATCACAGGATGGGGATGGGCTCAGGCTCCTTGCTGTTGTGGGGTCATAGCAGGATGCTGTCCTTGGTCAGGGGCTTCCCTGAGGGCCAGAGGTGCTTGGGGGATCCTGCACAGGCTGAAAGTGAGCCCAGTGGGCTGGCACTGAGTACACACAGCCAGTGCAGCCTTAGCCCAGCAGCTCCTCTTGAACATGACAGAGCATTCCCTGACTAGTGCAGGTCTGCCCTGGCAGCCTCATGCATGATCCCAGAGCTGCAGTATCCATGGGAAATAACCCTTCCTAGGCTTTGAAGGCAAAGATTTGGCCCATCCCCCTGGCACTTGGTGGTGGGCCCACAAGGCTAAACCCCCTTGGGTGATGTTCAGGGACTCCCAGCGCAGCTGGGCTGGGAGCTGGGCAGGGAGGCAGCCAGCAATGACCTGGATGTGCCCTCCTCAGTGACCAGCTGAGGAGCACAGGGGGACATTTACCCTGGCACAGTGTACAGGGCCAGGGCTGCAGGGAGGTCATCCCTTCCCCAGATGAGAGAGGATGGGCACAGCGATGGGACTATAAGAGACACCTGAGGCGGGAGGGTTTTGTATCACTTCCCCATTGTTCCATGTCACTGTGCAGCATCACTGCTGCTGTCAGCACCACCACAGTAATAGACAGCCTCGTCCTCGGCTTGGACCCCAGTGATGGTTAACGTGGCTGTGGTGCCGGATGCAGATCCGGAGAATCGCGAAGGGATGCCCGAGGGTCTGTTGTTATCCTGATAGATCACAGTGACAGGGCCAATGCCAGAAACCTTCTACTGATGCCAGGAACCTTCTACTGATGCCAGCCAGCATAGCTCCAGCTGCTAATCCCAGAGCAGGTGATCCTGATGGTGTCTCCCATGATGGCTAACAGTGAGGATGGCTGAGTCACTGCTGCCTGGACCAGGGAACCTGGAGAGGGAGAGAAGAGAGGGGAGAAGACGGGGGTCAGTCAGTGTCCCAGGAGCACAGACCTCCCAATTGCAGATCATGTGGCCCCTGTGTCCGGAAGCCCTGTTCAGGCACAGCGAGTCTGGCCATGGCACCTGAGCTGTGGGCAAGCACTGAAGCACTGAGAGGAGAAGGGCCCAGGCTAAGGTGCAATCTCACCAGCTCCATGTCCTCACAGTGATGGGGCTGTGCTGTGGGCCTTGACCCACTTTTAAGTCCCTATCTGCCCAGGCACAGGTTCTCCACGGATATGTGGCACCCAGTGTTCCCTGGAGGTCCTGTCCCAGTGCTACCACTGCGTGCTGCAGGCACCTCTGTCCCACCAAAGATTGCTCGGGTTGCCTGCTCCTTCCCCCCAGTATAACTGATGTACTCTCAGATCATCTGGAGACCACTCCAAGCCTGTTCCTGCCCAGTAGGACCATGGCCTCTATGCACGAGGAGTTCTGTGCACAGAGCAGGGAACAGCACCATTTGGCCATGGGGACACATCCACATGCCCTTGAGCACCCAAGGCTGGTTGGTGCCTCCTGGTCCCAGGGCACTGCACTCCCTGGGTGCTGATCATCAGCAGGGACAGAGCAGCTGGGGAGACCACATCCTGCTTCAACCAAGGGTGCCACCCTGGGCCTCTCTGAATGGCCACAAGAGAAGTGCAGAGCAGAGAAATGGGGCTTTGAAAGGAAATGGAGACCACGATCAGGAGCTCCCAGGCTCAACAACACAAAGGAAAATCAAGCCCCACTTCCTCCAAATTCCAAGTGAGCTTAGGGTCCCCAGCAGCTTTGCAGCAACTGTGTGTAGAGCTGGTCTGGTGTTTGTACCCATCAAGAGCGAGCACGTAGCACCTGCATTCTTGTCCGGCCGGGGGCAGCCCCTCTGTCTCCTGCACACAGCACGGCCCACGGCAGCCGCCAAAGGAGCCGGCGGGGCTGCTCTGAACCTCGCTGGCACCTGGCTGGCCACAGCCCCTTTGCCTCCCGCCTGGCCCGTGAGCCTCCTGCCTGTGCAGTGGAGCCACACTGACACCGTGTGGGGACAAGAAAGGCCTCAGGGACAGCACTGCAGGAACTGAGAGCAGAGCCAGGGACAGGACTCTGCCCTTGCTGCCTCTCACCCCTGCCACGGCTTCCACCAGGTCCAGAGATTGCTCCAGCCCTGGCTACAACCATCAGGGTTTCTGCATGGCACCGTGGCCACTCTGTTCCGAGGGGAGAGCCTCTCACACAGACACAGGGCCCTTTGGCACAGTTGCTGTGACCAGAGATGAGTGTGCATCAGCCCTGAACTGGCAGGGACTGACAGGTTACCTGAATGTCCAGAGATCATGACAGGGATTGTCCCAGCTCCTCTGAGCAACCATAGGACAGGACATCTTGAGGACAGGGACTATTAGCCCCACCACAGATCTTGACTTCCATGAGCCATGTCATTTCAATGTCTTCCAGCACCACTGAAGGTCTCTTCGAGCTATTATAGATCACAAGGACACCATCAGAGGCCTTCTGCTGGGACCAGGTACAGCCACTGCTACCCCTGGACCAGGAGGTCTTGATGGTTTCTCCCAGACTGGCTGACACTGTGGATGGGTGACTCAGAGATGCTGCCTGGGACAGGGACTGTGGAGAAGGACAGGAGAGGGGAGTAGATGGGCTTCACCCAGTGTTCCAGGAACATGGTCATCTTCTGGGCAGGGGATGGGGAAAAATACAACACTCAAAGGAGAATAGGTGCAACCACAGCCCCTAGTGAATCTGGGGAACAGAGCCAAGCCAAATATACCCCAAGGTATCCCAGCACGAGGGCACCTCTGGCAATAGCAGGAGAATGTGGTCTTCAGTAGTAAGAGGCAGTGGGATGGGGGAAAAAGCCACATCCTGGGTATTGTAGGGACTGGGACAATGATCCCCAGCCCAAGTTTGCTTCCAGTGTGCTAGGACACTAAAGGGGGGACATTTGTAGCCATGGTCATGCAGAGGAAAGAAAAACCTGCCCCAGCCTCAGATTCATCACCCTGCTTTGCAATGAGAAGAACAGTAAAATGCCATTTTTATTCCCTCTCTACATCATTTGAAAATCTGTAATTTTCATTACACCAACATAGCTGCTGTCCAAGCCACCACAGAAATAGACAGCCTCGTCCTCGGCTTGGACCCCAGTGATGGTTAACGTGCCCCCAGAGCCGGAGAATCGCGAAGGGATGCCCGAGGGTCTCTTGTCATTGCTGTAGATCACAGTGACAGGGGCAGTGCCAGGGACCTTCTGCTGATACCAGCCATAGTAGCTGTAGCTGCCACCAGAGCAGGTGATCCTGACCAGAGCAGGTTTTGCCCACCTTGGCCGACATCTCAGGTGGCTGAGTCAGCGCTGCCTGGACCAGGGAACCTGGAGAGGGAGAGAAGAGAGGGGAGAAGACGGGGGTCAGTCAGTGTCCCAGGAGCACAAACCTGCGTGGCAGCAGGATGGGGTCCTTGTGCCCAATTGCCACAAAGATACCATGAAATGGACTAGAGACACACACAGAACACAGGGTCTGAGGGTGCCTCCACCGTGCTGTCCACCATTGCTGCCATCATTGCTACCACAGAAATAGACAGCTTCACCCTCGGCTTGGACCCCAGTGATGGTTAACGTGCCCGTGGAGCCGGACTGGGATCCGGAGAATCGCGAAGGGATGCCTGAAGGTCTCCTGTCATTCCAGTAGATCACAGTGACAGGGCCACTGCCAGGGACCTTCTGCTGGAACCAGCCATAGCTGCCGCTACTCCCAGAGCAGGTGATCCTGACGGTTTCGCCGACCTTGGCTGATAACCAAGGATGGCTGAGTCACTGCTGCTGCCTGGACCAGGGAACCTGGAGAGGGGGAGGTGAGAGGGGAGAAGGACAGGGGTCAGTCAGTGTTCCAGGATCACAGGATTGGTCAGATAAGGTAATGGGGAATGCAACAGTCAAAGGAGAACAGACATGGAAAATGGCCACAGGCACAAGTCAGGAGCAGAGCTCAGCCCCAGGTGTCCCAGCACACAGGCAACAACAGGATGACGTGGTCATTACTGTGAGTCTTAGTGGAGTGGGAGACAAAGACATTAGTTTTGTAGGAAGCAGAACAATGATCCCCAGCCCTAAAGACACCTTCTAATCTTTCAGACATTAAATGGGCCAAATTAAGAGCTATGGTAGTGCAGAGGAGACAAAAACTTGCCCCAGTACCACATCCACAACTCTGCTTAATTATGAGAATGACAGAAAATCACCATTTTTACTTCCTCTGTACCTTATTTGAAAATCTCTTTGTCACTATAACCAGCACCACTGCTGTCCCTGCCACCACAGAAATAGACAGCCTCATCCTCGGCTTGGACCCCAGTGATGGTTAACGTGGCCGTGGTCCAGGATGTGGATCCGGAGAATCGCGAAGGGATGTCCGAGGGTCTCTTGTCATTGTAGTAGATCACAGTGACAGGGCCACTGCCAGGGACCTTCTGCTGGTACCAGCCATAGTCGCTGTAGCTACTCCCAGAGCAGGTGATTTTGATGTACTCTCCCACAGTGGCTGACACTGAGGATGGCTGACTCAGTGATGCTGCCTGGACCAGGGAACCTGGAGAGAGAGAAAAGAGAGGGGAGGAGAGTGGGTGAGTCAGTGACCTGGGAGCACAGATCTCTCCAGGCTGTGGGACAATGATTGGACCCCCATACTCAAAGTCCCCAACTGGTCACACTGAGTTTGGCCCGGATATCTGCACCAGAGATGAATAACACTGCAAGGAAGGTGACAGAATCAGGCAGGTGCCAGCTGCTCAGACATCACAGGATGGGGATGGGCTCAGGCTCCTTGCTGTTGTGGGGTCATAGCAGGATGCTGTCCTTGGTCAGGGGCTTCCCTGAGGGCCAGAGGTGCTTGGGGGATCCTGCACAGGCTGAAAGTGAGCCCAGTGGGCTGGCACTGAGTACACACAGCCAGTGCAGCCTTAGCCCAGCAGCTCCTCTTGAACATGACAGAGCATTCCCTGACTAGTGCAGGTCTGCCCTAGTGAGGTGAGCCTCATGCATGATCCCAGAGCTGCAGCATCCATGGGAAATATCCCTTCCTAGGCTTTGAAGGCAAAGATTTGGCCCATCCCCCTGGCACTTGGTGGTGGGCCCACAAGGCTAAACCCCCTTGGGTGATGTTGAGGGGCTCCTGATGCAGCTGGGCAGGGAGGCAGCCAGCAGGGACCTGGGCACCAACTGAGGAGCACAGGCACAGTGTACAGGGCTAGGGCTGCAGGGAGGTCATCCCTTCCCCAAATGACAGGAGAAGGGCACAGTCATAAGACTCTTCAGAGGCAGCTGAGGCGGGAGGGTTTTGTATCACTTCCCCATTGTTCCATGTCACTGAGCAACATCACTGCTGCTGTCAGCACCACCACAGTAATAGACAGCCTCGTCCTCGGCTTGGACCCCAGTGATGGTTAACGTGCCCGTGGAGCCGGACTTGGATCCGGAGAATCGCGAAGGGATGCCCGAGGGTCTGCTGTTACTGTTGTAGATCACAGTGACAGGGCCACTGCCAGGGACCTTCTGCTGGAACCAGCCATACCAGTTGCTGCTGATACCAGCCATAGTTGCCGTTGCCACCAGAGGTGGTGATCTGGTGGTGTCTCCCGTGTTGGCTGACACTGAGGATGATTCACTACTGCTGCCTGGACTACAGAATGTGGAGAGGGAGAGGGTAGAGGAGGATCCAGCCTCCCAGGGGCACAGACCTTCCTGGATAAGGTTACAGGGAATGCAACAGTCAGGGACAGAATAGACAGGGACAAGGTCACAGGCACATTTGAGGAGAAGAGCCCAGCCCATTGAAGGATAGCTGCACAGAAGAAGTTCTCGCAGCACGGGAGGAGATGGTCATGAGTATCAAGAGGCTGTGGGGGAAACAGCTACACCAATATCTTTGTAGGGAGCAGGACAATGGGCCCCATCTGCACAGTAACTTCCTGATCTTTGCAACACCAAAGAGAGGACATTCTGTGCTGTGGCCATGCAGAAGGGACAGGAATATGCCTCATCTGCACGTCCAGCCAGGATGGAGAAGGACCAGAATTTTTCCTCTGGTTTTGGAATCTCTCTGACTTCCTGGTACTCACTGTCAGCATAGACCATAGCTGCCACTGCTGCTGTCAGCATTACCACAGAAATAGACAGCCTCGTCCTCGGCTTGGACCCCAGTGATGGTTAACGTGTTCGAGGAGCCGGATGTGGATGCAGAGAATCGCGAAGGGATGTCTGAGGGTCTCTTGTCATTGTGGTGGATCACAGAGACAGGGACCTTCTGCTGATACGAGCCATACCAGCTGCTGCTAGCCCCAGAGCAGGTGATCCTGACAGTCTCTCACGTTTGCTGACATCTCGGGTGGCTGAGTCACTGTTGCTGCCTGAACCAGGGAACCTGGAGAGGGAGAGGAGAGAGGGGAGAAGACGGGGGTCAGTCAGTGTTCCAGGAACACAGACATGCCACGATAAGTTTATGGGGAATGCAACAGTCAAAGGAGAACAGACATTGAGAATGGTCACAGGCACAATTCAGGAGCAGAGCCCAGCCACAAGTATCCCAGCACACAGGCACCAACAGGAGGACATGGTCATTAGTAGTAGGTCAGAGAAAAGCGGGAGACAAAGCCACACTATGGATTTTGTAGGGAACAGAACAATGATCACCAGCCACAAAGTAACCTCCTAGACTTTAGTACACAAAATGTGCAAAATTCAGGGCCAGGATCATGTGGAGGAGACAAAAACTTCCTCCAGTCCCACATCCACAACTCTGCTTGGTTATGAGGAGGACTGAAAATCGATGCTTTTAGCTCCTCTGTACCTTATTTGAAAATCTCTTTGTCACTATAACCAGCACCACTGCTGTCATAGACACCACAGAAATAGACCGCCTCATCCTTGACTTAGACCCCAGTGATGGTTAATGTGCCTGTGGAGTCGGATCTGGATCCGGAGAATTGTGAAGGGATGTCTGAGGGTCTCTTGTCATTGTAGTAGATCACAGTGACAGGGTCACTGCCATAGCTGTTGCTGCTACCAGAGCAGGTGATCCCGACCGTGTATCCCACCTTGGCCGTAATCTCGGGTGGCTGCTGAGTCACTGCTGCCTGGACCAGGGAACCTGGAGAGGGAGAGAAGAGAGGGGAGAAGACGGGGGTCAGTCAGTGTCCCAGGAGCACAGGCCTGGGGTCCTTGTGCCCAAAGGCCCAGAGCAGGCACAGCAAGTCTGGCCATGGCACCTGAATTATGGGTGAGCAGTTTGAGGAGGAGAAGGGCCCAGGCTAAGGTGCAATCTCACCAGCTCCATGTCCTCACAGTGATGGGGCTGTGGTGCAGGCCTTGACACTCTTTTAAGGCCCTACTTGCTCAGGCACAGCCCCTTCATGGATACATGGCACCCAATGCTCCCTAGTGCTCCTGTCTCACTGCTCCCTCCACCCACTGCAGGCACCTTTGTCCCACCAAAAGGCAGCAATATTGGTCTGGGATGCCTGCTCCTTCCTCACCATGCCTGCTGAGCTCTCAGATCAGCCAGGGACCACCCTGACCCTATTCCTGCCCAGTAGGACCATGGCCTTGCTGCACACATTCTGCTTCAAGCGAGGGTTCCACCCTGGGCCTCTCTGAATGGCCACAAGAGAAGTGCAAGCAGAGAAATGGGGCTTTGAAAGGGAATGGGAACCACACCAAGACCAGGAGCTTCCAGGCTCAACAACACAAAGGAAAATCAGGTCCGGCCGGGGGCAGCCCCTCTGCCTCCTGCACACAGCACGGCCCACGGCAGCCGCCAAAGGAGCCGGCGGGGCTGCTCTGAACCTCGCTGGCACCTGGCTGGCCACAGCCCCTTTGCCTCCCGCCTGGCCCGTGAGCCTCCTGCCTGTGCAGTGGAGCCACACTGACACCGTGTGGGGACAAGAAAGCCTCAGGGACAGCACTGCAGGAACTGAGAGCAGAGCCAGGGACAGGACTCTGCCCTTGCTGCCTCTCACCCCTGCCACGGCTTCCACCAGGTCCAGAGATTGCTCCAGCCCTGGCCACAACCATCAGGGTTTCTGCTTGGCGCCGTGGCCACTCTGTTCCGAAGGGAGAGCCTCTCACACAGACACAGGGTACTTTGGCACAGTTGCTGTGACCAGAGATGAGTGTGCATCAGCCCTGAACTGGCAGGGACGAGCACCACTGTGGATCTCCTGCTGCTATCATAGATGACAGTGACAGGGACGTCTGCTGGGAGCAGGCATAGCCACTGCTACTGATCTTGAAAGTCTCTCCCCTGTTGGCTGATACCTCGGAGAGCTGACTCAGAGATGCTGCCTGGACCAGGGAATGTAGAGAGGGAGAGGGGAGAAGAGAGGTGTCAGTCAGTGCCCCAGGACAGCCCTCTCTGACCTGCAGGATGGGGCTGCTGTGCCAAAAAGTCCTGCTGGAACAGAGGGGTCACTGCCTCAGACAGAGCCCGAGGCCTGAGCTCAAGGCCAGGGCTCCATGAAGAGACCTGGCAAAGCTAGAGGACGTGGCTGGCAGCAGAATGAGGTGATGGGGCTGAGGACAGTGCCAGGCACTGCAGAGCCCCAGCTCTCCTCGTGCAGCGCATGAAGCAAGCAGGAGGCCATTCAGAGCCAGTGGTGATGGAGGGGGGATATGAAGCCCACAGGCCTACTCAGCTCTGAGAGAGAGGGCAGAGAAGCTCCATCTTTAAGTCCTCTATACCTCATTTCCACATGTCTCTTTATCACCAAACCAATTGCCACTGCTGCTGTCCCAGCCACCACAGTAATAGACAGCCTCGTCCTCGGCTTGGACCCCAGTGATGGTTAACGTGGCCGTGGAGCCAGACTTGGATCCGGAGAATCGCGAAGGGATGCCCGAGGGTCTCTTGGTGCTCTCATAGATCACAGTGACAGGGCCACTGCCAGGGACCTTCTGCTGGTACCAGCCATAGTTGCTGCTTCCACCAGAGGTGGTGGTCCTGGTGGTGTCTCCCGTGTTGGCTGACACTGAGGATAATTCATAACTGTTTCCTGGACCAGGGAATGCAGAGAGGGAGAGGGTAGAGGAGGATCAGCCAGCCTCCCAGGGGCACAGACCTTCCTGGATAAGGTTACAGGGAATGCAACAGTCAGGGACAGAATAGACAGGGACAAGGTCACAGGCACATTTGAGGAGAAGAGCCCAGCCCATTGAAGGATAGCTGCACAGAAGAAGTTCTCGCAGCACGGGAGGAGATGGTCATGAGTATCAAGAGGCTGTGGGGGAAACAGCTACACCAATATCTTTGTAGGGAGCAGGACAATGGGCCCCATCTGCACAGTAACTTCCTGATCTTTGCAACACCAAAGAGAGGACATTCTGTGCTGTGGCCATGCAGAAGGGACAGGAATATGCCTCATCTGCATGTCCAGCCAGGATGGAGAAGGACCAGAATTTTTCCTCTGGTTTTGGAATCTCTCTGACTTCCTGGTACTCACTGTCAGCATAGACCATAGCTGCCACTGCTGCTGTCAGCATTACCACAGAAATAGACAGCCTCGTCCTCGGCTTGGACCCCAGTGATGGTTAACGTGCCCGTGGAGCCGGACTTGGATCCGGAGAATCGCGAATGGATGCCCGAGGGTCTCTTGTCATTAGCATAGATCACAGTGACAGGGCCACTGCCAGGGACCTTCTGCTGGAACCAGCCAGCATAAGGATAGCTGCTGCTAAGCCCAGAGCAGGTGATCCTGACAATATCTCCAGTCTCTCTCACCCCTTGGCTGACATCTCAGGTGGCTGCTGAGTCACTGCTGCCTGGACCAGGGAACCTGGAGAGGGAGAGAAGAGAGGGGAGAAGACGGGGGTCAGTCAGTGTCCCAGGAGCACAGGCCTGCCTGGGCAGCAGAGTGGGGTCCTTGTGCCCAAAGGCCCCACTCTGACTCAGCAAGTCTGGCCATGACACCTGAGCTGTGGTGAGCACCATGAGGAGAGGAGGGGCCCAGGCCACAGTGTGATCCCACCAGCTCCATGTCCTCACACTGTGGCACCCAACACGCTCTTATGTGCCTGCCTACCTGACACAAGCCCTCCACAGAAATGTGTTCCCCAACATCTCCTGATGGCTTCTGTCCCACTGCTTCTCTTTCTTGCCCACCAATCCAGCAAGATAACTTCAGGCCACCTGCTCCGTTGGGCACTCAGCTGGGAAAAATGGGTCCTGCTCCAAGCACAGGTGGTGTATCTTAGAAGCTGCTGTGCTTCAGGAGCCACAGGACTACACTCAGTTGGATTGAGGTGTGTGGGTAAAGGCCCCTTAACCTTAGCCAAGTTCCATGTCAAGGGATGGCAGGAACATTTCCTACCCTACCTTGCCAATGCATCCTCTGCTGTCACCTTCACCAAGCCTGTGACCCTGTTGTCATTCACCCAATGTGCATCCCCTGAGCCAGCTCAGCTCTTCCAACCACTCTCTTCTCACGCAGGGGCTTCTGCGCTGGGCTCTGCAGCTGCCCCAGCCAAACCCATGACCCCCACCAGTGCTGAGGTGCCACAACACTCCTACTGCAGGCACTGCCCCAGCACCAGTGACTCTCCCC